TGCCATGGTGTTTTCCCATCCGGGAGCTGTCTTTTGAACAGAAGGAGCAGCAAGAGCAGGAGCAGCAGCAGCAGAAGGAAAAAGTAACTAAAAAATCATCCTTTTCTATGGGTTTCAGAAGTTACATTAGGCAGTTTTTGGTCGCAATTTTGATGTTTTTTCGTCCTTCAGGGCTCTGCTGTTTGAGCGTGGCGGAGGCGCCGTTTTTGAGCTTGGAAATTCCCATCCGGGAGCTGTCTTTTGAACAGAAGGAGTAGCAAGAGCAAGAGCAGCAGCAGCAGCAGGAGGAAAAAGTAGCTAAAATAATCCTTTTCTAGGGGTTTCAGAAGTTACATGCGGGAGTTTTTGGTCGCAATTTTGATGCTTTTCCGTCCTTCACTGCCATGGTGTTTTCCCATCCGGGAGCTGTCTTTTGAACAGAAGGAGCAGCAAGAGCAGGAGCAGCAGCAGCAGAAGGAAAAAGTAGCTAAAAAATCATCCCTTTCTATGGGTTTCAGAAGTTACATTAGGCAGTTTTTGGTCGCAATTTTGATGCTTTTCCGTCCTTCAGGGCCCTGCTGTTTGAGCGTGGCGGAGGCGCCGTTTCTGAGCTTGGAAAGCTAGCAGATGGCTACTTTTCTTGTCTTTTGAACAGAAGTAGCAAGAGCAGGAGCAGCAGCAGCAGGAGGAAAAGGTAGCTAAAATCATCCTTTTCTATGGGTTTCAGAAGTTACATTAGGCAGTTTTTGGTCGCAATTTTGATGCTTTTCCGTCCTTCAAGGCCCTGCTGTTTGAGCGTGGCGGAGGCGCCGTTTCTGAGCTTGGAATTTAGGGAGTTTTTGGTCGCAATTTTGACGCTTTTCCGTCCTTCACTGCCATGGTGCTTTCCCATCCGGGAGCTGTCTTTTGAACAGAAGGAGCAGCAAGAGCAGGAGCAGCAGCAGCAGAAGGAAAAAGTAACTAAAAAATCATCCTTTTTCTATGGGTTTCAGAAGTTACATTAGGCAGTTTTTGGTCGCAATTTTGATGCTTTTCCGTCCTTCAGGGCCCTGCTGTTTGAGCGTGGCGGAGGCGCCGTTTCTGAGTTTGGAAATTCCCATCCGGGAGCTGTCTTTTGAACAGAAGGAGTACCAAGAGCAAGAGCAGCAGCAGCAGCAGGAGGAAAAAGTAGCTAAAAAATCATCCTTTTCTATGGGTTTCAGAAGTTACATTAGGGAGTTTTTGGTCGCAATTTTGATGCTTTTCCGTCCTTCAGGGCCCTGCTGTTTGAGCGTGGCGGAGGCGCCGTTTCTGAGCTTGGAAAGCTAGAGACGGCTACTTTTCTTGTCTTTTGAACAGAAGGAGTAGCAAGAGCAGGAGCAGCAGCAGCAGCAGGAGGAAAAAGTAGCTAAAATCATCCTTTTCTATCGCAATTTTGATGCTTTTCCGTCCTTCAGGGCCCTGCTGTTTGAGCGTGCGCGGAGGCGCCGTTTCTGAGCTTGGAAATTAGGGAGTTTTTGGTCGCAATTTTGACGCTTTTCCGTCCTTCACTGCCATGGTGTTTTCCCATCCGGGAGCTGTCTTTTGAACAGAAGGAGCAGCAAGAGCAGGAGCAGCAGCAGCAGAAGGAAAAAGTAACTAAAAAATAATCCTTTTCTAAGGGTTTCAGAAGTTACATTAGGCACTTTTTGGTCGCAATTTTGATGCTTTTCCGTCCTTCAGGGCCCTGCTGTTTGAGCGTGGCGGAGGCGCCATTTCTGAGCTGTTTTTGGTCGCAATTTTGATGCTTTTCCGTCCTTCAGGGCCCTGCTGTTTGAGCGTGGCGGAGGCGCCGTTTCTGAGCTTGGAAATTCCCATCCGGGAGCTGTCTTTTGAACAGAAGGAGTACCAAGAGCAGGACCAGCAGCAGCAGCAGCAGCAGGAGGAAAAAGTAGCTAAAAAATCATCCCTTTCTATGGGTTTCAGAAGTTACATTAGGCAGTTTTCGGTCGCAATTTTGATGCTTTTCCGTCCTTCAGGAAACTGCTGTTTGAGCGTGGCGGAGGCGCCGTTTCTGAGCTTGGAAAGCTAGAAGACGGCTACTTTTCTTGTCTTTCGAACAGAAGTAGCAAGAGCAGGAGCAGCAGCAGCAGGAGGAAAAAGTAGCTAAAATCATCCTTTTCTATCGCAATTTTGATGCTTTTCCGTCCTTCAGGGCCCTGCTGTTTGAGCGTGGCGGAGGCGCCGTTTCTGAGCTTGGAAATTAGGGAGTTTTTGGTCGCAATTTTGACGCTTTTCCGTCCTTCACTGCCATGGTGTTTTCCCATCCGGGAGCTGTCTTTTGAACAGAAGGAGCAGCAAGAGTAGGAGCAGCAGCAGAAGGAAAAAGTAACTAAAAAATCATCCTTTTCTATGGGTTTCAGAAGTTACATTAGGCAGTTTTTGGTCGCAATTTTGATGTTTTTCCATCCTTCAGGGCCCTGCTGTTTGAGCGTGGCGGAGGCGCCGTTTTTGAGCTTGGAAATTCCCATCCGGGAGCTGTCTTTTGAACAGAAGGAGTAGCAAGAGCAGGAGCAGCAGCAGCAGCAGGAGGAAAAAGTAGCTAAAATAATCCTTTTCTATGGGTTTCAGAAGTTACATGCGGGAGTTTTTGGTCGCAATTTTGGCGCTTTTCCGTCCTTCACTGCCATGGTGCTTTCCCATCCGGGAGCTGTCTTTTGAACAGAAGGAGCAGCAAGAGCAGGAGCAGCAGCAGCAGCAGAAGGAAAAAGTAGCTAAAAAATCATCCTTTTCTATGGGTTTCAGAAGTTACATTAGGCAGTTTTTGGTCGCAATTTTGATGCTTTTCCGTCCTTCAGGGCCCTGCTGTTTGAGCGTGGCGGAGGCACCGTTTCTGAGCTTGGAAAGCTAGAAGATGGCTACTTTTCTTGTCTTTTGAACAGAAGTAGCAAGAGTAGGAGCAGCAGCAGCAGGAGGAAAAGGTAGCTAAAATCATCCTTTTCTATGGGTGTCAGAAGTTACATTCGGCAGTTTTTGGTCGCAATTTTGATGCTTTTCCGTCCTTCAGGGCCCTGCTGTTTGAGCGTGGCGGAGGCGCCGTTTCTGAGCTTGGAAATTAGGGAGTTTTTGGTCGCAATTTTGACGCTTTTCCGTCCTTCACTGCCATGGTGTTTTCCTATCCGGGAGCTGTCTTTTGAACAGAAGGAGCAGCAAGAGCAGGAGC